GTGTATAGTTTGCAAAGAAGGAAAAGAAGAAGACCAGGACCATTTAGCAACATGCTCCTTTTATAAAAACTATTAGATGAAGGCAGAAACACTGGCAATAACAATTGCATGGAGCATACTTTTAGAAGAAAAAAAAAAAAGTATTATTCGAACATATTTAAAAGAAGCAATATGGGACCAAACAGAAAAAGAAAGTGCCGAAGTAAAGAAAAAGCTCATTAAAGGTCTTTTACATGAAGAAATAGTAGAGAGGGTACAGAATATTGTGATCTCAGTACAAGAAACAAGAAATTTTCTAATGAGTATAGTAGATACCATATGGAATGAGTTCTATGAAAAAATTTGGAAAGAAAGATGCAATAAAGTATCCAAATGGGAAAAAAGTCAAGGAATTAGTACAAAAAAGAAAAGAAATAAAAATAAAGCAGCAGAACAATAAAACAAAGTATCACACAAGATGTTATCAAGATCAAAAGATGGAAACTCAAAAAAAGTAAAAGATATAAAGAAAGAAAAGGAAACAGAAAACAAAAACATAAAAGACATATGAAGGAACACAGTTAGAAATTTAATTAATAATAACAAGAGGCCTTACTGAAATGGCCTCAAAGGCTAACCTAAATAGCCCTCTAGTAGTGAGCATTAACTCATTCTAGTGTGGCAGGTCACCTCTGGGCACTAATACAGTAGCCGGAGGATGTCAAACCAAAAAATTAAGCTAATATTTGTATAATCATGTATGCAATTCTCTTAATAAAGGATCTTGTCAAGGCTGCCAAAGAGTTAAAAAAAAAAAAAAAATTAGTTGAAATAAGATACTTATAACTACAGTTGCATTAGCATAATTGGCAGATCAAAAAGCATTTATATAATCTTAGTTATATAAAAAAATACAAACCAGTACTAGATAATATAAACTTAAAATAAGTCTTTTTAATTATATAAATTTGTAGAACTAAAAAAACTAGAATCTATAAAAAGATTTAAGTAAATAAATAATATAAATTTTTAACAATACTAATGTAAAGACAAGATTTAGAAAATAGATACTAATATTAAGAAATTAACAAACAAGAACTTTTAGATAAAAGATACTACTAATTAGAATGTCAGAAGTCATAAATTAGAAAAAAAAAATATTAGATTAGACTTAATATACTAGAGAAAAATTATAGTTCTACTATATTATTTAAATTAAAAATTAAATAACAAAACAAAAATATATTATAAATACTAAAGATATACTATAAAGTTGATATTGGGATTTAAGTAAACTTTGCAAGAACAAACTTTATTAATATTATATAAAAGTAAGTAAATTAGTTAACAGAAAGACCTCTTTAAAATCTTATAGTCAAGTAACATACTTTGAAATATATAATAGCTTAATAAATATATAGAAAAGAAAATTAAATATTAAATTAAATAATATTTAAAGTTTATGAAAACCAGTATGCTATCTGTCAGATGTAGTATAAAAATCAAAATATTTAATTAAATAATTTACTAGCAGATTACAGATATAGGAACTAGTATAAAACTTACAAGCAGATTACTTAAATAAATAATTAAAAACTATATATATAACTAGTTGTATACTCATCTTGTATAAGTTATATAACAATAATTAAAAACACAATAAAAGTAGTAGTTGCTATTAACATTGACTTTAACAAAAGTATAAAAAATATTCAAAAAAAAACTTACAATTTAAGTTTTTATTTAAATATTAAACTATCAAAGTAGTTTTAAAATTTATTAAGATATTAATTGTAAAAATTAAAGCATTTATTTTTTTTTAAATCTAAATTTGCTTAATTTTTATTGATAGTAGTAATTCAAATTATTAGTAAAAAGCAACTAGTTGACAAGTTTTCAACTAGTTAATTTGAAATTTTTAAAAACAACTAAACAACTAAATAATTAAATAGTTTAATTATAAAATATTCTATCTGTTTAGGTTAACTTATACTAATTTTTTTTGATTTGATTAACTAATTAACAAATTTAGTTACATAATATAAAAGTTGATTAATTGCAACTATAGTTGACGACTAGTTAATTGGCAAAATTTTACCAACTTGAAACACTAATTAATAGCAACCATATTAACTAATTTCAAATTGCTAATAAATTACTGTTACAAAATATAATCTTTAACAAAAAAAATTATTATACCAAAATAACATTCCTTTATATAGAACTTAATATCTTTTTTATTTTGTTTGTAGATGCTCTTAACTTCTCAAACTGCACTGTATCTAAACATATTTTATAATTATGCTGATTACAAATGTTGTCACAAAAACATGCAAATTTGAATTTTGTATTTAAAGTTTTGAAAGATTAATATGCTACTGACAACTGTTTTTTATTGTTTTTCTAGACTTTTCAAAATTTATTTACTAATAACTACCAAGATAATAACAATAAATTGCCTTTTTTTGCATTACTTATTTATTTTCATTAGCTTGAATAATAGTATTTCACCTTATTACTATTTTAAAACCCATATATTCAGCATAACTTCATATGCGTTTTTTTGTGTGATCAAAATCATCAAACAACTGATCCTTCTCTATTGTAATAACATTGACATGCTCAGTTTCTTTCACACAAATGTCTAGATTAGGATTCACAACACAGTTCATGACAACATTCACAGCAACATTCACACCAACGTTCCCAATGTCATTAGCTCCAAAGATCACATCAGCATTCACAAAATTGTTCGCACCAACGTTCACAATGTTATTCACACCAACTTTCACAAATCATTCGCATCAACGTGCACACTAGTGTCTAAGCCAATGGCCAAAACAGCAGCCATGTCATTATCGCCTTCATATACTTTATTAAAAAAACATTTTGTGCCAATATTACATTCACCAACTACGATCTCAGGTAGGTTATTGTCCATTCATGGTGTGTATCTTCTATTTTATATTAGAGAGTATAAGTTAGTAAATATCAAAGCAAAAAAAAAACCAAACCGTTATGCAACTTATTTTATTTCAATGTAAGAATCCGGATCCTGGGTACAAGAACGGGTCACTATATATGATGGCTGGGTCTGAATTCGAAACATATACCGCAATATAGGGTGCCTGGTGCAATAAATTATAAAATCCAAGTTATTATTTATAAGAAATAGTAAAGACTTTGATAAACAAAAAAATATTAAACCAAATATTTTTTTTAAATAACTATATACAATATTTTGTTTTAAAAGAATATATAAATATATTTGCTTAAATAATAATTAAATAGTAAAATTTATCAAAAATTTTTTTAATTAATACTTCTAAAAGTAGTTTCATAGTCAATATAAAAAAGATATACCAAATGTATAAAACATTATTTAACAATGTTTATTAAAAAATATGAAACTAATTAAATTCAATTTTATAAATAAATAATTGGCAAAATTTTAGCATTATTATTACTATAGTCAGTTTTAAATAACTTTACAACCAAGATCACTTTATTGATAAGACGATTTTAAAGACCCAAAATTGCTAAAATTCAGTTACATGTTTCTAAGATTATTAAGATCTGTGTTATTTCGGGTAAACCCGAATTAGACCCATCCAATTTACAACGTCGAAATTTTGGCATGCTTGGCATTCCGTTGTTGTGTATACATCTGGCCTTCTTCTGTTGAGTTCTTCTAGGTGATTGGATTTTGGTCTTATCATGGCGATCATTTTCGTAGCTAAAATGAACTAATGCAGTAATGAATCAAAAGTTATTCACTGTTAAAGATTTAATAATTTCGCAAATTAGCACGTATGAAAAACGGTAAATTTATACGAACCTTGTCTACAAAATTAAAATCATCTAAAGTATTTGAAATATAACACATTTCTTTTTTCTATAGCAACCTAAATAGTATAATAAAATAACCAAACCTGATAAAAAATTTGGCATATTATTCGCTAAAACCTGTGCCACCCTGGGTCTGCAAGAAATTTAATATTTAATATATACTGTATTACACAAAAATTTGGCAAAATTAATATTTAAAAATTTGGCATGCTGCGATTGGCATACGTACCAGTAACCCTACATATACACCGATATAAGTGCTATATCGATTAACAACCCTTATCGTTATAGTTATTGATTTTTTTTATGTTAATATGATGACGGTGGAAATCATCTAATATAAGTGTCACCTTAGAGCCAGATTTCAGGAATTCTGTGCACAATAGGAGGAATCCCTCCGAAGCACTGCTATAAAGATTTATTAGTAAATTGTTGACGATCCGATCATTTGCACAATTGATACAAGATTAACAGTGATACTAGCACGACAGCTGAACATAACGTTCGTGGGTATATCGCAGATCACGATTATTCGCAATAGACTTATAAATAGGAGGCGATTTCCAAGTGCCAACAGAGTAAAATTATTGAATGAAATTATTAAGGGGATCCATATATACATACATTTATAATAACAATAAAATAAGTCAAAATAAATAATGGGAAATATGCAAAACCTTGTTCAAAAACTTAAAAAATCTAATTATCTCGTCACTACCATCGAATCTTGTACGGGAGGACTTGTTGCAAATCTTATTACAGACGTTTCAGGATCAAGCAAAGTATTTTGGGGTGGCCGAGTAGTGTATGATAATGAAGCCAAAATAGCATTGGGGGTTTCACCGTCTATACTTGAATCTTACGGAGCGGCATCACAAGAAACAGCATTCGCTTTGGCTGAAAATGGACTTAATGAGTTGCAAAAATCATCGAAAGCACATTCCAAACATACAATTTGTGTTGCTACCACAGGGCTTGCAGAAAGGGACGAGGAAAATAGAAATTTTGGAGGGGTTTGTTGGATTGGGATAGCCTCTAACTGCGGTCCAACATTTGTTGAACGAATAGACGCACCTCCCCAACTTTCAAGAAAAGAAACAAAATTACTATTTGCTAGAAGAGCTCTTGAGCTGTTAGAAAGTTTCGTTATCGTTAACGATTTATCGTAACGCAAATGAATTATAATTTCGTACAGTCATTAATAAAATTTACTTGTCAATAGTCTCTTTAACAGCTAATTTTTTGAAATATTATTATTTGCGAAACTACCGATATAATATCAATATAATTATTTACAACGTTAACATTGTAACGGAAAATTTTAATTATAGTGCAATATGGTTTAATCCTATGATAATAAAACCAATTTTTATAGATCAAAAACAGTACATATTTAAAATGCGATCTTTAAAGAGTGTATTATCCAAGTCATGTAAATTATATTGTGGAGATAACGGTAATAAGATGCGCTAAACTTTTAGATCGACACGTACTATTTATTCGCCGGGATGATGGGAATAATGAAATATTTCCCCGGTGACATATGTGGGACGCTTTGCGCCCTATTAGTGCGCCGCTGGGAGAATATTTCAATTATTTTCCCGACACGGTAGAATACTTCACATTTTTAAATTTTTTGAGGAAAGAACAAAACCAGGGGTGATAACAAATAAAGCCTAGGGTGATAATAAATAAAGCCTGGAGTGATAACAAATAAAGCCTTGGGGGTGATAACAAATAAGAAAAAAAATTGTGATTAATAACACGTAAATCCTAATGAAGATTTATGAAATAGTTTTCTAATGCAGTATTAAGGATAGCACAATTATCTAGCACTGTTTTGTATGGAAACCTAACGTCCAATATTCTTTAATATTCTTTTATAGTTTACCATATTAGTATATCAAGCAAAAAAAAAACAGTACGTACAGTTGTAGCTATTCCTGATGAGTTTCAATATTGGAACTTATGATAATTGTGATCACTCATTTATTATTTAATTAAATAAAAATTCTTTTTTAAAAATCCAAGTAAATCATAACTAGACTCGGCCGTTGTATAAAGCATCTTGCGAAAAAATTCAATAAGAATTGATGTGTATTATCTTTTAATTATTTATCTCTTATAATCCGAAAATTTTATTACCATTATTGCTATTTTATTCTGAAGTTTCATGCTGCCATCGATATGCGATTAATCTCAAAAATAATCATCTACGTATACAATCGTAACTAATAGAGAAATTAGTGATGCATCATTCACATGTCCCAAAAATTATCCAAATATTAGTAGCATGTGGTTTTTAGTATTATTTTAGAAATTTCCGGTATTGGTATTGTTTCAAGAGTAAAAGATTTGACTAGAAACGAACTCCCCTTATTGTTTGAAACTTAATAAACCTTCTTTGCTACTTACATGATGATAGATATAGTATATCTTCCTGAATATATAGGACAACAATATTATTTACGCCTATGTATGTACTTTAACCATTTGATTTAGCTGTTATTAGCCCATATCGATATCCAAACTCTGATTAGTGTTTGCAAAGCGTGCTGAAATGTATAACGTGCATATTGGGCCGAATCAATAGATGCGCACAAGACATTTTTTAAATTTTCCTGGTTCAAAATTTCAAAAAAAAATTCACATCAAAGAAATTTGGTACCCTGCTTCCATGCGAGTATACAAATATAAGCATATTTTGTAAATAATTTTACTACGTATCAATTGAACCTTATATTTTAAAAGCCGATATTTTTTTAATGAAAATTTCTAAACATATTCGTAAATCCGTGTACACAAAATTAAATAACCAAAAAGGCGGATGTTATCTTACATTTGTCTATTTTAGCATTTGATCTTGATTATTTTGTTGCAACAAGACATTACTCTCACATTCTTAGAAGAACCCTGTTGAATGTATTATACGTATTAATGTTAAATTTTGAATAACAATATATTGAACTGACATATAGCAAAATGGATAAATATAAATAAAGTGAACTCAATAAAAATATTTAAAAAACTGCAGAATCAAACCCTAAAAGTATTTAGAAGCCAATTAGTTTTGTTTATAAAATATTTGAATGTCAGTTTTTACGTAACAAATACAGTTAAGCGCACCTTCTATAAGTGCATTTTTTATAAATGTACGTACCTCTTTTTTTTTTATAATACTAATTTGTAAATTTGTTTTACGTATTAACTTTATGTCATTATTACAATTTTCAAATTTTATTTGTGTTACTATATTACTTTTTTGTTATAGTCACTCAATATGACATTATACTTATACTTACTTATTTTATAATAATTTTTAGTATTTTAATTATTTATTACTAACTAAAGTAAAGTTATAACCACCTTGTTATACTATATTTTCTAATTCTATCTAACTATAATCCTTATCTATTTTCTGTAGTAACCTTCTTGTTTTATTATTATTAATTTAATGTATACAGTTTTTTATGTATTGATACCAATTAGCATAGTTAAATTTATTGAGTTCTGGATTATTAGTTTACAGATATTATGTATCTTTTTTTGTATATTTTTATAGTTGGTTTAGTTTATAGTTTGGATATATATGTTTTCTACAGATATCTGTAAATGTATTATTATTGTACTTTTAGTTTAATATTGCAAATAAACTTAGAATTTTGATTTATTATATATAAATATAATAATTATTAACAATATTTTATAATTTATAAATTTTTTTTTTTTTGAAATGCCAAAGTAGAAACTTTATTAAGTAATAGAAGAATTACATTAAAGATTTCTAAACTACATTTGTGCTACTTATTTTAAAACACCTAATGTGATATTACATCTCTATTTCTATATAACACCATTATTAATTATTTCAAATTAATTTTAAGTATAAAAAAGTTGAAGAAAACCTAAAGTGATAGTCTTGATATTTAATAAATACAGTTAATAAATAAATAGTCTAAGAATAGTCAGTTTTTAATAGACATAGTAAGATCAATAGTATATGTATTTAAGGTATTAGATGTTGATTAATAAGTGGAAATTAAAGAGTAGATTTTTAAATATTTGAATTTGTTAGTTATATTGTGAATTTTT